TAGATAGATAGATAGATAGATAGATAGATAGATAGATAGATAGATAGATAGATAGATAGATAGATAGATAGATAGATAGATAGATAGATAGATAGATAGATAGATAGATAGATAGATAGATAGATAGATAGATAGATAGATAGATAGATAGATAGATAGATAGATAGACACACTATTCTAGATTATATATATATACATATATACATACACTCGCTCATTATTCTAGCAGTTAGTGATTTTCTTTGAATCTTTTTCAAACTGATTGAGAATAGGTATGGCTCAATCAGATTTTTTCCTCTGTTGCAGTGTATGTAAATATATGATTTCAACTGTACATATGTTTGGTCTCTGGCAAACCAACCTTTAAACTCACTGAAAGACTTTCACTGTGATCCAATCTCTGTTCTGAGAAAGACCAAAGTTGGAGTACTTTGGAATGGATCTACAGGAAAACCCATGACCCTCAATAACTGTCAACTTTGATTTCTAGAGCGAGGGATGCCTTGGCAGCAGCGGCTCATCCAGAGAAACCTGGACACTGAGGAGGGTGTGGAGATAGCCAGTGGGGTGATGGTGGAGAGAAAGATGAGTCTGGAGAAGGGATACCTCCGCACCTTGTCCAAGACCTTCCAAACCCACCCCCATCAGGTGGACTTCACTAAACCAGACCAGGTTGTGAACATCATTAATGCCTGGGTCTCAGACCACACTGGAGGTACGAACTTCCATCCATCAGCAGAGAGCAATGCTTCTATGACAACAACTATCCAGAGACAGCTTTAGACAGGAATCCAAGAAATCTCAACAGAAATGTTTTCTTAACAAGAAACTTCAGAGTCCATCTTTGGCTCAAGTGCCAGGATCTTAACAAAAGAGCCATATATTCAGCAGAGACAACCACAACATAACAGACCTTAATAACTTTACTTCAGTGACCCAATGAGACCATGAACACAGTGACTAACGGAAAACAGGTGGCTGAGTTCAGAATGAAAGGAAATTACCAACAAAAGTGCCAACACTCTCAACAGCCAACAGCCAACATTTTGACTGATGGTGGGGGTCTCCATTGGGAGAGAAATAAATCTAGCTCACAGATTAGAGTATCTCATCCAGTGGGAACTTGACTCTCCAATTTCTGAATGGCAAAAACTCCCCAGGGAACCAAAACATCTTCAACTGCAGAGTAGAAGTCCAGTTGTTTAGTTTTTTTTATTATTATTTTGGTGGGACCTCTACAGTAAAACATGTTTTGGTCTACATAGCATTAAACAACTAAGTTTTACGAGTGAACTCGTTACCCCCCCCCCCCCCCCCCCACACACACACACACACACACACACACACGCCTTCTAGACCACTATGGTCTTCTGATCAAGACCTCCTGGTTGGTCCTGGCTCTGGTTTGAAAACAAGAGGGGACCGTGGGTTCTCTATCCAGGGTCCTAGACCATAACAGTCTCCTTCTAGAATTCAGGACAGTGACAGTTTTAGAGTGCTTTAAAGGTCAAATGAAATGTTTTACAGCTAACATAATTAGAAATAAACTGATGAAAAGACTAGATTTCACATTTAAAAACATTCACACTAACCTTAAATGAATAGAAGCACTCGGAGAGCGCACATCTCCAGCAAGATCCTTGAGTCACTCATGCAGGAACATCTTGTACACAGACAGACAGACAGATCATTTCTGTTTTAGGTCATATGTTTGCAGCAAAAAAGGTTAAATTGTGTCATCTGGACCAGTTTTTTTAAGTGAGAAATGTTTCGTCCCCCATCCCAAGGACTTTGTCAGTCTGTGGCCTGCCAACCAGATCTGTCCCATAGGTAGCCTTCACTGTTGTGTTTCAAGCCAACCTCCTGTTGGAATCTCAGAAGTAGGCTTTGAACACATGCAAAACACACCCATCCAAAACCATCAATCATCATTTACAACAATCAAATATTTTAGACCAGATGGCCAGCTTTATACTCACAGAGACGGCCTGAGGACAACCAAGGCCAGTGATTCAGAAAAAGGTTTTTAAGCTCAATCATCCAGATGGATAACAACAAAAAAGGTTAAATCGTGTCATGTGGACCAGTTTCTTTACGTTAAATTGTGTCCAGATGACATAATTGAGCTTACAAACCTTTTTATGAACCACTTTGGCCTTGGTTGTCCTAAGGCTGTTTCTGTGAGTAGAAAGCTGGACATCTGGCCTAAAACATTTGATTGTTGTGCATGATGATTGATTGTTTTGGATGGGTGTGTTTTGCATGTGTTAAAAGCTTACTTCTGAGATTCCAACAGGAGTTTGTCTTGAAACACAGCAGTGAAGGCTACCTATGGGACAGATCTGGTTGGCAGGCTGCAGACTGACAAAGTCCTCTGGATGGGGGACAAAACGTTTCTCACTTAAAGAAATTGGTCCAGATGACGCTGGTTAAACTATTTGTTGTTATCTACCTGTATGATTGAGCTTACAAACCTTTTTTTTGTCATATGTTTACATTTGCATATTTATGTTCCATTAACTCTTCTATGCCATTTGTTGCTAACCAAATATACTTTTGAAGTTAACTTCTTTTCATCTGTAGGTGCTATCCCTGAGTTCTTGGCATCTGGAACTTTAAATGATGAAACCCGTTTAGTCCTCCTGAACGCCCTTCACTTCCACTGTTTATGGAAGGTGCCGTTCGAACCCAGACTTACCCAGGAGAGGATGTTCCATTGTGCCAATGGCAGCACCATGCCTGTGCTCATGATGAGACTCACTAACTACTTCAACTACGGTGGGCTGAAAGAAACATTTCTGCAAAACCTGCCACCATCCAATATGCTTGCATCTATTTCATACAGAGGTCACTGTTGTTTGAACTCACAGGGGAGTTTGTGACGAACGATGGGGTAGACTACGATGTGACTGAGGTACCTTATGAAGGTGACTCACTGAGCATGTTCCTGGTGTCACCGTTCGAACCTGAAGTCTCCCTGAGTGACCTCAGTGCAGATCTGAGCAGCCGAAGAATTCAGCAGTGGAGATCGACAATGAGGAAAGTCAAGAGGCAGCTTGCAGTGCCGAAGTGAGACAGAACTCCTGAAAATTCATGTGCAATGATGTGTTCAGACGTTACAAGCTGCACATGTTTGCTTGTCTTGTCAGGTTTTCTCTGAACTCTGAGATGGATTTGAAGACTGCGCTGGTTAACATGGGACTTGGAGGCATATTCAACTTGGCTACTGCTGACTTCACACATATAATCTGTAAGCTGAAGATTCATAAGAGCTTTACTTCCTGTACACAGTATGCACAGCTTCCTTACAGATGGTCATATTAAAGTCCAAACCCCATTTTCAAAACATTCAGATTTAAATTTTACAAACACAAAAGACAAAAATCTTAACTAAATCAGGATAATTTTATGTACTGAATGTCAATTATAGGTATGTATCACATATGAGCTAAGTAAAATCGATTTATTTAGGGGCAGTTGTGCCTGAGTGGTCAGAGCAGTCATCCTCCAATGAGAGAGTTAGGGGTTCGAATCCACCAGCAGCCACAAGCAGAAGTGTCCCTGGGCAAGACACTAAACCCCTCACTGCCCCTGATGTATGTCACATCGGTTAATCTAAAAGCAGTGAGGAGTCTTTGTACAGAAAAAGTAGTGTGCTGTAAGAATGTGTGTGGTAGAGTGCTGTATGAATGTGTGTGGTAGAGTGCTGTATGAATGTGTGTGGTAGAG